TCACTGAAGAAGACCTGACTCGACACGAAGGCGAAGCTGCCACGTCGAGACGAATAACAAGCGAGGACCATCGACTTGGATCATCGGCTCTGAGGAAGACGAAGACGTCGAAACGTTAGCCGAAAATAAATGTCATTATCAACCTCATGTAAGCTCATCAAAGAAAGCATATTGATTAGTAAATAATAAGTTAAAACTGTGATTATAACTAAAGCCTCTTCTTGACTGGGTTCATTGCCGATTTGGGTTCTCCAGATCAATACCGCTGACGGGTGATTGCTGATGGCAGAGATCGATAAAACTAGCTGAGAGACAGGCGAAACGAAGGACCCGCATGGTGTGGTGGTGAACGCGTCGTTACTTCCTGAGAAGAACAACAGCGCGTTCGCTTGTCACCGCAGACACCTGCGGTCTGGGGTTTTGCAAATATCTCACCATCATTGTAGTTATATTTCGCAATATACCCTGTCATTAAGGAGAGTAGACAGTAAATAATGGAATAAAATTTTGATTATTTTAAGACTACCTCTAGGACTGTCTATATTTTAATAGAGGACTTATTTTCGAGTTCTTCATTGCAGTTCCCTATCTACCTACCGATTCTCAACTTTATAATCAACCTAGCCTTGTTGCTAATCCCAGTGATCGTCGAGCCTATAAAGTCGGGAGTTGGTTTTGGGTTGTTTATCCTCGGGATTAGTGAGTTTTTCCTCTTTTATTTTGCTGATTTTTATCCTTTGCACGAGGATTGGAAACCGCGAGAAATGAGAGAAAAATGCTTCCATGTCGTGTCATTTTAGTGTTTTTAGCTTGTTTATTTTTATAAATTTTATGCAACTCAATAACTCGCACATTCAGCGGGTTACTATCTGTTCCAACGGCCAGCAAAAAAGCCCGACGTTCTTTTGAAAGTAGACGGTAAGTTCTCCTCAATATTACTACCATTCAAAAGTGCAAAGAACATAAAGAAAACAATAAAAGTGAGCAAAAATGAAAGAAGCGAAAGAAAAGAAACGTTAAAAACGGAACTGCGAAAACACACTGAGGAGTGCTTTTTGTGTCAACTCACAATGTTATCTGCCCAGTACTGCAAAAAGTAACAAAGCGCTTCATTTTTGATATGATTTCCGCACTTTCCACTCACACACAACAATTTCTAACACGTCTTAACGAATCGATAATAATTCTCCAGTTCAACTCAGGGGTATAGATTACTTACATAATTCGGGTACTAGGAATGTGTTCTCGGTTCTTTTCAGGCCTTATCAGATATGTATGCCAGCAAATATTCTGGACGGTGCCCGACTCGGCTCCATCCTACAAGAAAGTAAATAGTGATATCATTGATACGGGTTCGAAATCGAGAACTGAGCAGAGAGACGTGAAGGAGCTCATTTCCACAGTCTCTGGCCGCCTTTCCACACGGAGAACGCGTAAAAATGGCGCCACTGTACAACCAGGCGACGCGGCACCAGTGAATTTCCAGTAGTCATCAGCAAGGAAGATAAAATTTTCTCATCACCTCCAGCTTTGTAATGTCGGCATAAAACTGAAAATGAATTGTTTGTTCTAGTTGTACGTATAATCCTTTCCCAAAATGTCTGTTTTGACTATTGCGGACTCCTATAGGCCACACTGTTCTCAGTTTCTTAAAGATCAGCTTCAGTAAGGCTAAAATTTCTTTATTTTTTAGTTATCTACCCATCCGGGAAAAAGGAAAGACGATACAGCTTGAGCTATCGCACGTTTCCTACTCCTACTAACCTCTCTGGGAATGCAATCGCGACTTTTCTTCAATCTCGTAATTCATACAACATTTAATTTAACATTTAAGACGAGCTTTTGGAGAAATCGTTCTTGAAGAACCGCTGCCGATCACACACTCGGATCGTCTTTCAAAACTTAAACAGCTATAAGTTGGCTAGTTCTAAAAAATTTGTTAAAAATTTTATAGCTTGGTATTTGTATTCGCCAGAGTCCTCTGCATTTCTGTTATTCAGCGAATAACTTGAGCACCACTTTTGCGCGTCACTGGAATACTCAAACTTTATCATTAGTCGAAAAAGAACCAATTACCAAATCCTAGATATGCGTACGCCACTTTATTAGATTTTTTAAAAGAACCTAGTACTTGGATCCCTTCAATAATGTGTTAGTGTGGCTTTTTGCCGAGTGAATAAAATTTTCCGTCTCTTCTTTATGCTGAGACCTTAGTCCTTAGCATATAACACCGTTGAGAAACGGACTACAATGATCGGCCAGTTAAGACATTGTAAAAAAAATATGGAACCACAAAAGGCGGCGGATAGCACAGCGGTATTAATGCCCATCACCACAGGCAGGGTTCTTCTTCGATTCCGCTCCAGGCCACCCAAGCCTGTATGAAGCCCCGAGGACGGGAAATTTGGTAACTGACTTTTCTGGGAAAAAGCTCTCTCTGCAAACCAATTAGGAACGCTTCTGCTCGGCTATGTCACGTCTCCAGGGAGAATTGACTCAACCTGTATTTTACGACATTCAAGATAAAATAAACATTCTGAAGCAGCAACCGAAGCCGTAAGCAAAAGTAGGTAGATCCTCGTGGAAGGTGGATGCGAGGAAACGAATCGAATGTGAGAAGTGCTGGGATCCTCACAATAGACGTGAAGACGGGTCGTATGAAGAAAAATATGGAGTAGATTTATAAATGGGTTTCAAGACGGTGTATCTCAATGAGAATAGTAACTATCAAGGGTGTTCGTCTGGTGAGATTGCTAGCACTGCGTCATACGTATGGAATGTCGAAAAGGTTACTGCCCCATGATTGCTCACTGTTATCGTTCATTGCTATTTAAAACCATACAGTGTCACCCATCTGAAAAGAAATTTCACTCATTTGCTGACCTTAATGGTAAAACAATTTTATGTCTTTCCACTTAACCTTTTCTTTTATTTATTGCCTATTCTTTTTAACGGAAGGGTATTTGCGAAATATAACTACTATAATGCTGAGATATCTGCGAAACTCCGGACCGCAGGTGCCTGCGGTCGCAAACGAAAGCGCTATTGCCCTTTCCGGGGAGTAACGCGTTCACCATCTCACCATGCGGGTCCTTGATGGCACTCATCGNCTTAATGGTAAAACAATTTTATGTCTTTCCACTTAACCTTTTCTTTTATTTATTGCCTATTCTTTTTAACGGCAGGGTATTTGCGAAATATAACTACTATAATGCTGAGATATCGGCGAAACTCCGGACCGCAGGTGCCTGCGGTGGCAAACGAAAGCGCTATTGCCCTTTCCGGGGAGTAACGCGTTCACCATCTCACCATGCGGGTCCTTGATGGCACTCATCGATAGAACTAGCTGAGAGGCGAAACGAATGACCCGCATGGTGTGTTGGTGAACGCGTTACTCGCCGGAAAGGACAATAGCGCGTTCGCTATTTTTTTCTATGCTGCAACAGCTTCATGAGTTTTGATGGGAATGAAATCAAAGATTAGATCTGCTCACCCTTAGGGATTAATGTTCTCTTTGTATATTTAACTTTGGGAAGTGTCACTTTTTTTGTCATTGTCATTCATCTTGTCCATCTTTTAAGACAAGGTCGAAAAATTTTAAAAAGAGTAAAATTTTCTTCCTGTGTCAAATACTATTACGAATCGGGTTTTTTGGTGAACAAGAGACGAGCGCAACAAACTTCCCATTGGAGCTTCGTTGGACTTTAGTTTAACTATTGCAGGATCTATCCATCAAATTTTTTAATCTCCCAATTNAATGACCCGCATGGTGTGTTGGTGAACGCGTTACTCGCCGGAAAGGACAATAGCGCGTTCGCTATTTTTTTTCTATGCTGCAACAGCTTCATGAGTTTTGATGGGAACGAAATCAAAGATTAGATCTGCTCACCCTTAGGGATTAATGTTCTCTTTGTATATTTAACTTTGCGAAGTGTCACTTTTTTTGTCATTGTCATTCATCTTGTCCATCTTTAAAGACAAGGTCGAAAAATTTTAAAAAGAGTAAAATTTTCTTCCTATGTCAAATACTATTACGAATCGGGTTTTTTGGTGAACAAGAGACGAGCGCAACAAACTTCCCATTGGAGCTTCGTTGGGCTTTAGTTTAACTATTGCAGGATCTATCCATCAAATTTTTTAATCTCCCAATTCTGTTGGTTGGCTTCGAAATTGTATACATAAGTTCTGAAAAATTTTTTCAAGGAAAAGTTGCAATATTCCAAGGTTTACTAAGCCCTGAACTGTAGAAATATTAAAAGGACAAGCATTTTAATTACAAGGCCGACTGTCATTTAACCTCGGTACTACAATAGTCAGCATGTGTTTCTATTACTGAGCTTAACGGGGTTAGTAGAGACGTTTATTCGGCTAACGTTCCGGCATCTTTGTCTTCATCAAAGCTGATGATCCGAGTCGATGGTCCACAGTTGTTCTTCTTCT